CCCTTCCTTCTCCCCTACCTTCAACTACAGTAAAGAGGTACTTTCACATCACCCACATGAGCTTTAACATTCTAGAACTAATTGCTCAGGCTTTTGGTTTTAAGGACTTAGAAAATAAAAACATGAATGTTCTAAAGATTTATTTAAAAGATTCTGGAATCAAGAAGACATTCTGGATTCTAGGCCTACCCTATAGTTGTGGAGTAGGTGGCCCTTGAATATAAAAAGGGATTCTAGCCTGTTCCTCACTTTTTTCCCCATGTGTGTATGTGGGTTACCATCCCAGGCTCTCTGTCATTCCTGCCCCCAGTCATGGGGAGAGGTCTGTACAGGCCCTACCTAGCAATAGGCCCTGGTATATGGGCACCCAGTGAATTCTGGGGACCCAGGTAGCTGGAGGATGGTCAAGAAGTGGATTGGGTCCGGGCGCCTGGGTGGCTCAGTTGTTGAGCATCTGCCTTCGGCTCAGGTCATGATCCCGGGGTCCTGGGATCGAGCCCCACATCGGGCTCCCTGCTCAGCGGGAGGCCTGCTTCTCCCTCTCCCACTCCCCCTGCTTGTGTTCCCTCTCTCGCTGTGTCTCTGTCAAATAAATAAAATCTTAAAAAAAAAAGAGGTGGATTGGGTCCCTACAGGCTCTGGATAAGCATCCTCATCCCATGGAGAGGGATACTGCTGAAGGAGAGCCAGATGAAGCCCCCTAAGGCCCAGGACCCAGGAAAGGGACCCTGGTTGTCCAAATCTGAAGGTAGTACTGCTACATTCCACTCTAGCCCAAATAAACCAAGTCTTTAAGCCACTTTAGAAGCACCAAATACCAAAAAGGCAGTTAAGGTTTTCTGTACGTTCACACATTAGTAGGTGTGCGATGAACTGAGGACGAGGCGGACATCTCCCCCACAGCGCTGTTCACTGGCGCCAGTCCCCTGAATATTTAGCAGAGAGGGTAGAGACAGCTCCTTTGAATTATGAATTGTCTGGAGAATACAGCAAATCTGGGGTTACAGAGCTGAACACATTTTGGGAAGCTCATTAGTTGATTCCTAAAAACCATCTTAATTCATAGAATTTGAAGGTTTGGGGTTTTTTTTTAGATTTTTAAAAAAATTATTAAAGTACAATCTACTCCCCAACATGGGGCTCAAACTCACGATCTCAAGATCAAGAGTTACATGCTCTAATGACTGAGCCAGCCAGGTGCCCCCAGAACTTGAAATCTTAAATACATCTACTAAAGTATGTGATAGGGCAAACTTTCCCAATAGAAGCAGGGCCTCAGGAGTCCTCAGGCAGCATTTCAGCCCAGTGAGTAGAGTGGACTGTGAAGAGTGTACAGGAACTTACGCAGGGCACGTGAAGGATTTAGGTCACTGACATGCGTGGTCCCAAGGGTCTGCCCCACCTGACACTAACTGCAACACAGAGTTGCTGCTCAGTAGAAGCGCTTTCAAGAAGCCAGAATTTCTGTCCTAATTTCTTGTGCTTGGGTCATTTCTTTTTTCTTTCTTTTTTTTTTTTTAAGATTTATTTATTCTAGAGAGAAAGAGAATGAGCGGCGGGGGAGGGGCAGAGTGGGAGAGAGATGAGAAGCAGACTTCCTGCTGAGTGTGGAGCCCAATGCAATGTGGGGCTCGGGGGCTCGATCCCAGAAACCTGACATCATGACCGGAGCTGAAACCAAGCGTTGGACACTTAACCAACTGAGCCACCCAGGTGCCCCAGGTCACTCCCTTTTGAAATCCCACCTGTCTTGCTCTGTGATGTCAGTCTTACTAGCAGTAGAACAAGCCCATTCTAAGCGCCTGTAGATAAATGGTGCATTTTATTCCTCAAAGTCTAGCCATGTGGACTCTGCAAAGCTGCCCCATTCTTAGAACACTTCAGGGGAGTGAGGCTTCTGGATAAAAAGATGGCAAGTAAAGGGCTTCTTGGGAATTCCACGAGGTTTTGACTTCCATTCTCCTGGTGCGCACCAAAGCCAAGCCTTCGAGCGTGTCTATTCCATGTGGGCAGACAAGGAAGGCTTTCTTTTTTTTTTTTTTAAAGATTTTATTTATTTATTTGAGAGAGAGAGAATGAGAGACAGAGAGCACGAGAGGGAAGAGGGCAGAGGGAGAAGCAGACCCCCTGCCGAGCAGGGAGCCGGATGCGGGACTCGATCCCGGGACTCCGGGATCATGACCTGAGCCGAAGGCAGCCGCTTAACCGACTGAGCCACCCAGGCGCCCCAAGGAAGGCTTTCTTAAGCCTGAGCAAACACAAAGATAGCTGTAGTGAGTGTTGGGAGAGCCAGCTCCAGGTTGCAACTCTATCGGCTGCTTGTTTTCAGCCTTTCAAGGCCAGAGGAAGCTTCCCTGGCCTAGCAGCCCTGACCAACGTTAGCTGCTTCAGCAGCGCTGGGGACGTGCTGCCAGGGCAGTGATGTGGAGCATCTCTGGCCCTACACAGAGGGGGGCAGGAAACAGGCTGCACCTCTAAAAGGCTCCCCTGCCTTACTGTTACGAAATTGGTATAGAGAGGCCCTTCCCAGACATGTGATAGTTAGAATTATGCATGAGGCAGAGTAAAGGCATGGGTTTTAATTGGATCGTTTTCAGATGGCTAAGGGTGGACACCTTTTAAGAATGTTAATAGAAGAGAGGGTACCCCGCAGCCTACCTGCCCCACCTGCTCCACTTTTAGGCCACTGGAGGTCCAAGTGAAATTCTGCCTAGAGCAAAGGCTTACATTTCCAGGTCTGGGCAGAATCAGTTCCCCTCTCTAAATGATGCAAAATTCCTAATCTGTCAGGTGGATACACCTAAGTAATTCCGAAGGATAGTAAATATATAAATTAGTCAGAGGTACACCTGAGACTACCATAGTACATTAACTGTATTTCAATTTAAAAAAAAAATAAGTTAGGGGCGCCTGGGTGTCTCCGTTGTTAATCGTCTGCCTTCGGCTCAGGTCATGATCCCAGGGTCCTGGGATCGAGTCCCGCATCGGGCTCTCTGCTCAGCGGGAAGCCTGCTTCTCCCTCTCCCTCCCCCTGCTTGTGTTCCCTCTCTCGCTGTCTCTCCCTGTCAAATGAATAAATAAATAAAATCTTTTTTTATTTTTTTTTTAAAGATGGGGGAGGGTCAGAGGGAGAAGCAGGTTCCCCAGTCGCTTAACCAACTGAGCCACCCAGGCGCCCCAAATAAATAAAATCTTTAAAAAAAATAAGAGGGGCGCCTGGGTGGCTCAGTCGTTAAGCGTCTGCCTTCAGCTCAGGTCATGATCCCGGGGTCCTGGAATCGAGCCCCGCATCGGGCTCCCTGCTCAGCGGGAAGCCTGCTTCTCCCTCTCCCACTCTCCCTGCTTGTGTTCCCTCTCTCGCTGTGTCTCTCTGTCAAATAAATAAAATCTTTTAAAAAAAAAAGACAAATCCATCTCTACTTCTAATAAATATCTAGTCAATATATAAGACACTAGTTCAGCTGTAATATATGCCCTGTTATATCTGATTCACTATAATTCTCTGAACTTCTAGACTAGTTAGAGTCTCTTTTCCTGTTCTAGGTGTAAGATAACTCAGCTCAGTTACCTAGAGTCAAGGCAACGTCAAATATTAAGGCTGAGAGGGTGTTAAAGCTCTTCTAGCCTAATTCTATTATTTTTATTTTTTTAAAGATTTTATTTATTTGACAGAGAGAGACACAGGGAGAGAGGGAACACAAGCAGGGGGAGTGGGAGAGGGAGAAGCAGGCTTCCCGCTGAGCAGGGAGCCCGATGCGGGGCTCGATCCCAGGACCCCGGGATCATGACCTGAGCCGAAGGCAGACGCTTAACGACTGAGCCACCCAGGCGCCCCTAATTCTATTATTTTGAGATGAAGGGGTTATCTGTCTGGTCCAACACCTGCAGTTTGTGGCAGGTTCAAAAGCAAAACTTGGATTTCTGTACTCCTGGGAGGTGTCTAACAGCTTTTCCTATCTTCCTGATGACTTTTTAAATCAAAAGGCATTTCTCTTATTTTCCTGTACAAGAGGACGAGATTTATTTTGAATTGCTTTAAAGAGCCTAGTTAAAATGGAAATGTAACATGCTGAATAAAAATACACCTTAATATACAGTCTGGTCTTGGGTGTCCTAGGTCAAAGGGATCATAGATTTAGGTCACTCACCACTAGAGGGCACTCAGATTTTCCCAGTTAAAGAGGCTTCCAGCTAGAGCCTGTAAATGGAGTTGATGATGACGTTTTCTATCAATAGTAAAAGCTAAATGGCCATTTCCCCCAGATAGGCTGATGTCTAATGTATATATACGTATATAGAAACATGTTATAATTAATATATATTTGTTATATTTGTTACTATTTTAGATTTAAGCCTGATATTTTCCCAAACGACTCTCATTTATTGCTTTCAAGCAGACTTTTGAAGTAAAAATTAACTTAAAAGTCACCTTGCCTCCAGAGCACTCACCCAAAGCCCAGTGGGCCCCTGCCAAAATCCACAGGCCTACAGTATTTGAAGCAAATAATGTTTGTTGCGGGGGGCGGGGGAGGGAGGCGCTTGCATACTTTGATTTAGAAGGGAGAAGAAAGAGAAGAAGAGAGCTTTCTCTGTTATAAAAGTAAATGAATACAAGTCAGGCAACTCTTTAACCCTCTAGTTTATCATCCTTGAAGGCCTTATTCTGATCATGTGAGGGATTTCTGGAGATTTAGACCTGGAGCCATGAAAATCCATTCTCTCTAGGAGGACCAAGCACTTTCTGGCTGTGTTATTCAAATTCTGTAAAGGTCTAATCTATATACTTAAAAGAAGTTACATTATTCTAACAGTTATTATCAACTACGACCATAGCATTGGCCTGTCTGAAAAATATAAGAATCTTAATAAGAATCATGTTTGTGAAAAAGGAGAGGGGTCTTTCTGCAAAGCTCCTGCACCTCCGACTATCTTGTCAGTTGTTGATGGATAATTAGCATTCTGGATTCTGCTGCATCCTTTTCCTGCCCCGTGGCACTTACCTGATCAGGACTACCCTGTGCTTTGCCAAGTACTGAGGAAAACCTGGCTCACAGCTTTGAAAAAGGATACATCTAATTCACTCTGGAAAAGAGAAAAAAGTACAAGGATGAGAATGAGACACTGGGGCACATGTTCTTAGCAGAGTTAGCAGCTAATCTGGCCACAGGCTTGGGAGCAGGTCAGGGAGGCAGCTCTGTACATACAAGTCTGAGCAGTAAAGCCCTGGGTCTGGGACTGTGCTATTTATTTATTTATTATTTATTTATTTATTTATTTATTTATTTATTTATTTAGACTTATTTATGAGAGAGAGAATAAGAGAGACAGAGAGAGAGAGCATGCATGCGCACACATGAGTGGGGGGGAGGGGAAGAGGGAGAGAATTTCAAGCAAACTCTTCACTGAGCGTGGAGCCTGATGCGGGCTTGATCTCATGACCCTGAGATCACGACCTGAGCTGAAACCAAGGGTTGGACACTGAACCCACTGCGCCACCCAGGCGCCCCCTGGACTGTGCTTCTTAAAAAAGGCTGCAGTTTGGAAGAATTTTGCCAACCAGTACAATTCATCCTTAGAACATAGACGGAATCAGGGCACCTAGGTGGCTCAGTCGTTAAGCGTCTGCCTTCGGCTCAGGTCATGATCCCAGGGTCCTGGGGCCAAGCCCCGTGTTGGGCTCCCTGCTCTGCGGGGGGCCTGCTTCTCCCTCTCCCACTCGCCCTGCTTGTGTTCCCTCTCTCACTGTGTCTCTCTCTCTCTCTCTCTGTCAAATAAATAAATACAATCTTTAAAAAAAAAAAAAAGAACATAGAGGGAATAGATGACCTCAACCTTTACAGATGATAGCTAGTTTGGTATGTGTATCAAAAACCTTAATAATATGCATGCCCTTTGAATCCATCAGTTTTACTTCTAGAAGTTTATCCTGAGGAAATAATTAGATAACAGGACAACAATGTGTGATAGGATGTTTAGGGTAATGTTTGTAGTAGCAAATTACTGAAAACAAGCTAAGTATCTATCAAGGGGGGACTAGTTAAATATATTATTGCAGATCCACAAATGAGGCTATAGATATATAAGTACCGACATTGTTAAGTAAAAAAGCAAGTTGTAACACGGAATATACACTATTATCCCACGGACAGTGGAATAGTTAGATACAGTTATATAGTTAGATACAGACTTTATGTATCTAAAAAGTCTAAAAGGAAATGTACCTAATAGTATGTATCAGTAAGTCATGGGCTTACTCACAATCTTCTCCCCTTTTTGCTTATATGTGTTTTCAATTTTTTTCAGTGATCAGAGATGTTTAGATCATAAAAAAAAATTATAGAGGGAGAAATAGTAAACAGAGTTCAATTCATATCTGAAAGGACTTAAGGTTTGTCAAGTGCAGCAATGACGACCCCAATCCTCAACAGCAACCATCCTCTCTTGCCCCCAGGGGACCTAACCGGGTTGGCTTTTTGTTTTGAAATGTGATGCTGAGATGCTTCTTTCAGCCCAGACAGCTTGAGACTGATCTCCACATTTAAGATTTGGAAACCAAGATTAAAAATAGTCTCAGCAAGAATGTTTAAAACTCACAAACCCAAAAATAACTCTTAGGTGACAAGGCATTCTCCGAGTGGGACAGATTCTCTTTTCTTTCCCACAGTACTCTCTTTCCTCCTTTGGCTCTTCTTTTTGCTACTGTCATCCTAAACTGAACCATCTCACAGTACTGTTGGGAGTCCTGTGTAGTCACCAGTTTAAATTAAATTCTAAGCTTTACTTCCGTGGTTTATGTGGTCACTGACTCTTTCCCCAGAATTACAGCAAGAATTCAGCAACATGCTATTTATTCTCAGTCACCGAATATAATAATAATAATTTAAAAAACCTTAGCAATGATAGTGCTTGTACTCACTCATGATTATCCCAGGTTTAAAATATTGCTTTTTTGGGAAATGTTATTCTTCTTGATAGGTGTTCCCTTAAGATGGCTAATCATGGCCAGCTCTGAATCACAGACCCTGACTTGCAAACCAGTCTGTCTTAAGGGAGTGGTCACTGCAATTAAGCAGGAACCAGAGCTGTGCCGTCTGATATGGTAACCACCAGCACCATATGGCGAATCAAATGAATTAAGATTAAATTCCTCATTTCCGCCTTTATACTAATCACGTTTCCATGTGGCTAGTGCCTCCTGCACTGGACGGCACAGGTACAGAACATTTCTGTGGTGGTGGAAAGTTCTACTGGGCAGTGCTCAGTTATGGCACTCTCTCCAAGCGATCAATACAAAGATGGAGTTTGAGGCCAACCTTATTGTCCCCTGACAATAACTGATTTCGTGGTGGTTATGAAATAGTCTAAAACTGACTTTGCTGATGGCTGCACGACTGTGTGTAAATATGAAAACCTATACAGGTTAAATGGGTGAGTTTCAGGGTATGTAAATTCTATTTCATACAGCTGGGGTTTTTTTGTTTTGTTTTGTTTTTTAGAAAGGGGGCTGTTGGGAGGTGTCTGGGTAGCTCAGTCGGTTAAGCATCCGACTCTTGGTTTAGGTTCAGGTCATGATCTCAGGGTCATGAGATCGAGCCCCGTGTCAGGCTCTGCTCTCAGGGGGAGTCTGCTTGGGATTCTCTCTCTCCCCCTCTGCCCCTCTCCCCACTCTTGCATACACACCCTCTCTCTCTCTCAGAGAGATAAATAAAATCTTTAAAAAGGGGGCTGTTGGAAAGGAACTCATGTATTCCTTAAGGGGAGTTGGTTTTGACCATCAAAGCAAAGGTGTGGATAGAAATGATTCCTAAACTAAAAAGGTTCCTAGTGCCTTAGGAAGGGAAACAGAAAAAAGAGAGAGAGAGAGAAAGTTAAATAGCCAAGTCTCTTAATTAAAAGAAAGGCGTAAGAGGTTCTTAGGCTTGTAGAACTGGTTCTTTATAAAGATCTAAGGCACAGAGTGGTTTGTAACACTTTGGATGAGCCAGAAGGAAAGGGAAAGAAAATGTGGCATCATCTGAGTTTTAACTTTTACATGGGAAAGCTCTATATGAACACAGGTTCTTGATATAGACCATTTCTGGAAAACTGGGAGAAGGACATAAACCATTTCTTAGTCATTAGACTTACCACTCGGCTGAAGTACTCATCTAACACTTCCACAAAGTTATGGATGAATTCATAAATGGCCATCTCGTTCTGAAATAAAAAAGGAAGGGTACAATTAGTTTTAGTATGGCCTGTCTATAAATTAGACACTGACAAATATTCAGAATAGTTCTACGACTCACTTGTTTGAAAGAAGCTTACCCATAGAGGGAAAATCGAAAACCTTCACCTCTAAGACTTTAAGTCCTTAATGAACTTAGCTGGACTGAAATCAGATCGAGTCTAGTGATTAGGGTTTTGAGTTCTGCTCCCTGACTTTATCATCAACTGGCTGAAACAGTGTTTCAGGTTCTTCATGCCACCAATTTTCCATTTGGGAAGATGGGAAACTACCTCTAGGTTTGGTTCACGGATAAAAAACAATCAACTGAAATTCTGAAGTATCTTAAATCTTAAATGCTTTTCATGGATTCAGTAGCCATAGGTTCTGTTGACCTGGGAATGACGTTTCTGGAAAGGTGAACTAAATCTGAGGAAATTCAGTCACAACACAATCATATTTATAGTTTGCTCTGGCTTCTGATCTGTCACCCTATATTTCATGCCACAACTGAATGGCCTCTATACCTGTCTAAGCTGCCACACTGGGCCACACAGAACAAGGGCAGGACACTGGTATTGCCTAGGGTCGAGGAAAGCATTCTGTGGTTTTGTGCTTCCCCACAAGCCGCTCATCTAATCCAAGAAAAATCCTAGATATTTTTCTTCCACACAGCTTTCCCTAGCCTTGATAGAAAAAAGATCCTTTAAGAGTCAAGATAATTCTTAGATAGGCAAGCAGAGAAGAAAATGTCAATTTAAGGAGGAATAAAAATCAGACTGTTGGGGCGCCTGGGTGGCTCAGTTGGTTAAGCGTCTGCCTTCGGCTCGGGTCATGATCCCAGGGTCCTGGGATCGAGTCCCACATCGGGCTCCCTGCTCGGCAGGAAGCCTGCTTCTCCCTCTGCCTGCCGCTCCCCCTGCTTGTGCTCTCTTTCTCTCTCTCTCTCTCTGTCAGATAAATAAATAAAATCTTTAAAAATTAAAAAAAAAATCAGACTGTCATTCCTAATTTTCTTGCATTTTCCATAGGCTCCTCTATTACCTTACCTCAGTGTCATTTACTCCAACCACAATGAAGAGAGCTGCATACTGCCGATATATCAGCTTAAAATCCTTAAATTCAATGAAAGAACACTAGAAAAAACACAATTAGATATTAATTCCTATGGTTGCCACGGATTTCTTCAAAATGGCCTGCATAATTTCTAGGTTCTGATTTCAGTATCGGTCAACACATTCCCAGAAATAGACAATATTAAAATGTTACACGATCTTGGTTGGTTGCCTGTTGGTTGCCTCCTCACAGTATTCGGGGGACTACCTGGAAGCAGCTCTACTGGGAGGCAGAGAAGGGGTCTAGGAAAAAAGGCTTGGAGCATCCACGTGGGTTCCCACTTGTTCCTTCTCATTCCTTTGCTTTGCTCTGTGTGGAAATCAGCAGGCACAGGTACTGAATAATTTTAAACTGCCTCCAACGTGAAAATAAGCCAACATGACAAAGAAGATTTTCTTCTTTGGGCACCTGGGTGGCTGTCATTAAGCTTCTGCCTTTGGCTCAGGTCATGATCCCAGGGTGCTGGGATCGAGCCCCGCATCGGGCTCCCTGCTCAGCGGGGAGCCTGCTTCTCCCTCTCCCACTCCCCCTGCTTGTGTTCCCTCTCTCGCTCTCTCTCTGTCAAATAAATAAATAAAAATCTTAAAAAAAAAAAAATTTTCTTCTTTTCATCTCCCCTAGACTCTGCTGGAAGCAATTAGAGATTTAGTTTTGTACTATTTATTTATTTATCTGTTTTTTTTAACCATCGACCAATATGGAATCTTTATTTTATTTTTTTTATGTCATACAGCATACACACATGCAAAAAGAATCCTGATTTCTTTTTCCTAGACCCATGAAAAGAATCAATGTAGACTCTTATGAATTATTTAAAGTTTTGGCTTTTGTGGGGCAGATGCTAGACAAAATCTCCCATTGTAAACATTGCTTCCTATTAATTAACAACTAGTTTACCAGCACGGCCTGGTGGATAGAACAACTCCCTTCCCATTCATCTCTCTCCTACAGCCATTGTACAAAGGGGACTGGGAAGGCACTGCGTAGACAGGAATCGGATAGCAGCCTAAAGGCGCAGTGCTGCCCTTCCTTTGGACTTCTGGGTGTGCTTGACCAAATATGATTGCGCATGAACTCTGGCTATTTGCACTGGGATAACTGCTCTTGGGTGCCCAGATACACCTGGAGATGAAGCTGTAAGTTTTAATTATGAAATTTCTTCCATGGGAAAGCCATTTGACCATCTATAAAATGGAGGGATTTGAGGCTCTTATTTAAAATGAGGATAAAGGTAAGAAGTGCAGGACCACTCTGCATTTTTGGCTCACTGTAGAACCAGTGTGATTTCTGCTCAGCTGGATCTTTCAAGGAAACACAATCTATCTGAAAGAACCGAAGAACATTTTTCAAAGCCTTTCAGGAGTTTCTGACAAAAAAAAAAAGGAGCAAGCACCTTTGTGGATAAAATAAAAACTAAGCTGAGATTGTGTTACTTCAGAGCCTAATTATCCCAAAGCCCAGTGGATTCCTTTTAAAATCTAAAATAATTAAGGGGGCACCTGGGTGGCTCAGTCAGTTAAGCAACTGCCTTCAGCTCAGGTCATGATCCCAGGGTCCTGGGATCGGGCCCTCGTTAGGGCTCCCTGCTCAGCGGGGAGTCTGCTTCTCCCTCTCCCTGCCCCTCCCCCTCACCTCACGCTCTCTCTCTCTCAAGTAAACAAATAAAATCTTAAAAAAAAAAAAAGAATTCAGAATGCTTCAAAAATATCTAATAATATATTCGTTCCAAAGCATATATTTCAAAGGGTAACGTATCGTGAAGATGGTGTTTGAAACTATGCAGTGCCTGCCTTCTGCAGAAAGATTCAAGAAGAATGCTTCTGGAGGTTATCTTTATTTAAAGAATGTGACTGTTAACACAGCACTTTAATAGTTCCTGTTTCCCTTTGACAACTACATGAAGCAATGTGTGCCATGGCAGGCCAAAGTAGTAATTCAAAGAGGACTCTGAGATGTTGAGACTGGAAAATCAATTTAGAAGCCAAGGGAAACATAGTTCCAACATGTAACTTCTGAGCACTGATGTACCTTAATATTTTAAGACCTAGCAGTGGTTCCAACAGGCTTTCTACATATACTGTGAAATGGCGAACTGGCAAAATTAATGGGTGATTTAAACAATCTTTCTGGGGGCACCTGGGTGGCTCAGTCGTTAAGCTTCTGCCTTCAGCTCAGGTCATGATTCCAGGGTCCTGGGATCGAGCCCCGCATGGGGCTCCTTGCTCAGCGGGAAGCCTGCTTCTCCCTCTCTCACTCCCCTTGCTTGTGTTCTTTCTCTCGCTGTGTCTCTCTCTGTCAAATAAATAAATAAAATCTTAAAAAAAAAAAAATCTTTCTGGGGGCGCCTGGGTGGCTCAGATGGTTAAGCATCTGCTTTCGGCTCAGGTCATGATCCCAGGGTCCTGGGATCAAGTCCCGCATCGGGCTCCCTGCTAGGCAGGGAGCCTGCTTCTCCCTCTGCCTCTGTCTCTCTCTCTCTCTCTGACTCTCATGAATAAATTCTCCAATTAAACCTCTTTGTAAAAATAGACTCAGTTCCTAAAATTCTTATTTGTTATTATTTTAATGATTTTGTTTAACCTCAATTTTGACAGAATGGGTAGATTTGTTGTGTCAAATGAATTTTTAACTTCCGCTTACCCCATCTACATCATAAAACAAGACAAGTTCAAATAAAATTTGTTTTGTTTTTTAAATCTTTAAATCTTAGTTCTAGGATTATGTTGGTGTTAAGTTTACAAAAACGATAAGCAGAAAAAAAAACTGCGCTCTACATGAGAATCATGCTAGTGTTCTCTGGCACAAAGTGGGTCTCGAGTGCTCACCTCTATACCAATCATCTGACCTTAATCTCTTGGCTTAAAGCGAGCCACCTGCTGGGGGCACCCCTAAGAGTTGTAAGGGCTAAATTCATATGGACAAAAAAAGAAGACATGTCTATTAGCTGGAATAAATTTGAGACAAATACGCTGACCTAAATAAGAACTCAAGGCTTTTCCCGGTTTTCCTTGTTGGTATTTTCCTTAAGGGGATATAAAGCGAGCGAGCTATGCTTCAGTCTTCATTCACTTCATTTGTTCTTTTCCCTAATAGCTGTTAAAGAATGTAGTTCAAAGAACTTGATGGCCCTTGAGACTCAGTAATAACAGATCTGCCACTGCCTAGTTGAATGAGGAGATAAAAGAGAGAACCAGAAACTTACTTGTTCATTGGATCGGGAGAGACAGCTCTTTATGACTTCCGTTTCCAGAACTGTACGCTTATTGATCTCCACATGTTCATAGTATTTAGAAAGTCGGGTCTGTCCTTGTTTATTCACCATGAGGAAAAATTTTATCATTTTTTTTTCTGGGCAATATTTTTCCAGATAGTTCAAAAGTTATGTCAAGGTGTACCTGTAATTAGAACCTGAAGGATGAAAGAACAACAAAAAGCTAAGATCAAACATCTCAAAGAATAATATTAGATGTGTTCTATAAATGAACCAGAAGTAAATAAAATGTGATCTGATAATACTGGTCTTCACTCCTAAGAATTAAATGAGGTTTTAATAAATAACTAAACATAGGGATGCCTGGGTGGCTCAGTGGGTTAAGCATCTGCCTTCGGCTCAGGTCATGATCCCAGGGTCCTGGGATCGAGCCCCACGTGGGGCTCCCTACTCAGCATGGAGTCTGCTTCTCCCTCTCCCTCTGCCTGCCACTCCCCCTGCTTATGCTCTCTCTCACTCTCTCTCCCTCTGTCAAATAAGCAAATCAAATCCATAAAAAAATAAGAAAAAAACCTAAACATAAATTTTCATTAGTTATCTTCCAAAACTTTTTTTTTTAAAGTAGGCTCCAGGCCCAGCACAGAGCCTAATGTGGGGCTTGAACTCACGACCCTGGGATCAAGACCTGGGCTGAAGGCAGATGCTTAACCGACTGAGCCACCCAGGAGCCCCTCTAAATGAACTTTTAAAATATGGAATAATTTTACAGAAAAGTTGCAACAGATTATGGGATAATTCTTGGACTACATTTTGTATTATTCTTTGTCCTCCCAGTTCATCTCTTGTTTCCTAAACCGTATCAGACAGGTGGTTATCTCACAATAATTCCAAACACAAAGAGCTGGAAAGAGCCAGGCCCAAAGCCTGGGCTGCCGTGATCATCCAGGGCACAGGACAGGATGTTATGTAGACCAGCTCGGCCCGGGGACAGGGCAGCTGTGCCATGGGGGAGGCCTGTGGTCATTCACTCCCTTTTCCAGGAAGATAAGCTCACTCCTGTAGGTGGGACTGCAACATACTCTGTTTAGTCATTTGGTATTAAGTGCTGCTTTTATTCTCCTTACAAATTACTGCCAGTAAATTATGGCTGGAGACCAGTAAATTAAGTTACCATCCATTCTTTTATTCCCTCTCAGCAAAGATATTTTAAAACGATCTTCACAAAAGTTAGAAATTATAATCTTATACTCTGGATTCCAACTGACAGCTAGAAGAAAGAGATATTGCCTTGGGCGCCTGGGTGGCTCAGTCGGTTGAGTGTCCGACTCCTGGTTTCAGCTCAGGTCATGATCTCAGGGTCCTCGGATGGAGCCCTGTCGCTGCTCCCTGCTCAGAGGGGAGTCGGCTTGTCTCCTTCTCCCTCTGCCCCTCCCACTACTCGCTCTCTCTCCCTCTCTCTCAAATGAATAAATCTTTAAAAAAAAGAAAAAGATATTGTCTCAAAGGTATTCATGGCCAAACCTTTGCCTTTAAATGCCCTGGCTGCGTTAAGTTTACGGTAAAATGAGATGTAAAATGATCCCATTGAGATGTTACACCAACGGATCAAATTGGTTTCCACCTTAACAAGCACAGCATTCCTTCCCACTGACTTCAGGAGCAAGAATGACAAACAAGGGTGTGTTGAATTCATACTCATTAGGATGCAAGCCTTGAAAATAGTAGCTGAAGGCATCTATAAAGGCTCAAATACATCATCTTTGTTTTGCATGCTCATAAACAATTACACAATTTGTAACTGTAGGATTATACAGTGGTAATAAAGTGGACAAGTAAAATTGTAAACTCTATTATAAAATACACAAATCCGAAATATATAATGTAGAGACTCAGAGACAAGTACATGTTTGAGAACAGAAGATGAATGCTTTAAGCACCGATCCTGGTTACTAATCATCAGGGAGGAGAGAAATCAAATAATTATGAAACTGAGGTAGGGTATAAGGAAAGAATATGCCTAGACAAGTGCTGGGAGTGGCCAGGGAGCAGGTATGAACTTCCTTTGTTTATAAAACTCTTTGCATTCAAGGACACACAAGGCTGGGGAAGATGTTTTGATTGCCAGGACCTGGGGGACTCCACACCCAAGAGCCTGTGTGAATCAAGGACAGATAAAGAAGGGAAATTTCACTGGGGAAAGCCTTACACAAAGGATGCCAGGATACCTAAAGGCCAAGATGAGGGAGTTTGGTATAGTCACAGTAGAATATGAGCAGATCAATGTCCCAAGACCCTATATGATACAAACTAAATGCCTAGAGAAAAGAGAGACAGGAACAATTGAAATGCATACTGAATTGGGTATAGTTTTCCTATTCTGATGGTGTATTCTGAGACTGTCATCCAAAGATGACAGGTTTTAACTTGGGTGCCAACTGTGACTAACTGTATTTGCTGCTTTGAGCACTGTGTTGGGAAGGATTCTGGAACTGTTCAGGTTCAAAAGGATGCTATGAACGATTAGTATGTCAGTTGCAGGTTAGGAACTGCAGGGTGTGGCAACATATGCACCATATACCTGTCATCCCTGATGTGCACTCCCTTCATTTTGCAGATGGGAAAATGGATGATCTGAGATATAGAGTGAAGTCTTGGATTCTGGCCCCCTGACTCATAATCTGATGCTGTCTTTAATTTATCACATTACCTCTTTGCCTCACTCAGTATATTAGTGTCATCAGATGTTCATTTAAGCTTACCAAGCATCAACTTCAGGTAGCTTTGGGAACGATCAAGTCAATATTCTCTAATGCTGCTGAACATTTAATTTGGAAAATACCAAACAATACAACGCATGAAAACAGTACAGTATGAAGTTTCTAGCAATCAAAGTGGCATTTGGTGATGACTAATATCCTTTCTAGCTCTAAAGGCTTTTTATGTATCTCAGAATCAGATTATTGTAACACACACACGTAATATTAGACAAAAACATTTTTGGCCCCATAAAAGTGATTGAAATAAAATCCTCCAAATTAAAAAGCAAATTTCCTCCAGGGAAACATAAAATCCTCATAACAGTATAATAGTCAAAAGCATGAACTGAGGCTTGACTGTTAATTTTGTGATCCTTGGCAAGTTACTTAACCTTTAGTACTCAGTCAAAGGTACAATGGGAATAATAAATATAGTACTTACCTTCTGGGTTGTAAGGATTAGAGGAGTTAGATACGGAATGTTCTTAGAACTGGGTTTGGCAGTTGGCACATAGTAAGGGCTACATAAGCACTGGTGAAAGTCATTATAATATATCACTTTTTCGGGCGCCTGGGTGGCTCAGTCGGTTAAGCGACTGCCTTCGGCTCAGGTCATGATCCTGGAGTCCCGGGATCTAGTCCCACATCGGGCTCCCTGCTCAGCGGGGAGTCTGCTTCTCCCTCTGACCCTCCCCCCTCTCATGCTCTCTCTCTCTCATTCTCTCTCTCAAATAAATAAAAAATCTTTAAAAAAAAAATATATATATATCACTTTTTCTTCAGTGAAGTCTGCCTATCCCAGTCCCCTGTTGCGAATCATAAAGAGCTAGCTACTATCCTTTCTTTTTTAAAAAATATATTTTTAATTTATTTATTTGAGAGAGAGAGAGCATGAGAGGGGGGAGGGTCAGAGGGAGAAGCAGACCCCCCGCCAAGCAGGGAGCCCGATGCGGGACTCGATCCCGGGACTCCAGGATCATGACCTGAGCCAAAGGCAGATGCTTAACCGACTGAGCCACCCAGATGCCACAAGAAGCTAGAGCACTTTATTTATTTATTTATTTATATTTATTTATTTTTTAAGATTTTATTTATTTATTTGAGACAGAGAGAATGAGAGAGAAAGAGCACATGAGAGGTGGGAGGGTCAGAGGGAGAAGCAGGTTCCTCGCTGAGCAGGGAGCCCGACGCGGGACTCGATCCCAGGACTCCAGGATCATGACCTGAGCCGAAGGCAGTCGCTTAACCAACTGAGCCACCCAGGCGCCCCGCTAGCTATCTTTCTTTGAACACATTACTGTATCTTACAAAACTTGTCACCCTATGTAATCATTATTTGATTACATACTAAGCTCTCCTACAAGACCAGTGATTTTTACTTTTTTATTGTGACATTTTTATTGTGACCCAGCATTCAGGTACATATATATCTGATTCAGTTATATATGATGATCACCAAACAATACCTACCCATACTGTGTGTATTGTACTCTGGTGATTTTTGTGACATTTTATAAAAAATGTAGTTGTGAAGTGTTTGGGTTACATAGATATATGGATTTTTCTTTTCTTTTTTTAAGATTTTATTTATTTGAGAGAGAGCACACAAGTACGAGCGGCGGCGGCGCGGGTGCAGAGGAAGAAAAAGAAGCAGACTCCCTGCTGAACAGGGAACCCAGCGCGGGGCTCGATCCCAAGACCCCGAGCCGAAGGCAGACGCTTAACGGACTGAGCCCAAACACACAGAAGGCACATACTATCAACATGATATATCACTGTTGAAACTGAACTTGATCATCTGGCTGAGACAGTTTTTGTTAGGTTTCTGTACCGTAAAGTTATCCCTCCCCTTTCCATACCATACTCTTTAGAGGGAAGTCAGTATATAATGTATTTTTTTTTAAAGATTTTATTTATTTATCTGACAGAGAGACAGCGAGAGAGGGAACACAAGCAGGGGGAGCAGGAGAGGGAGAAGCAGGCTTCCTGCTGAGCAGGGAGCCCGATGCGGGGCTCGATCCCATGACCCTGGGATCATGACCTGAACCGAAGGCAGACGCCTAACGACTGAGCCACTCAGGCGCCCCGGAAGTCAGTATAGGTAACCCACATTTAAGGGGTGGGAAGTTATGTTCCATCTCCTTGAGGGGGAAGTACCTATGGAAATTATTTGGAATTCTACTGTGCAGGTGATCTGTCTACTGTACCCCATTATTTATTTACTCATGCACTTATTTTTATATCAGTAGGGACTCATGGATATTTTATTTTATATCTTAGGTTATAATACAATATGATCCAATGATTTTTAATTTCAGAAACCACTAAAGAACTGTGGCCCAAATAATAAAATTAAAAAAAAAAAAAAAAGAACTGTGGCCCAAAGTTTGAAAAACACTATATTAGAACATGAACTTGTGAGTAGGGTTCATATCTTATTT